GGGGGTGGGTGGGGTGAGGCTGGGGCGGCCGCGGGCCCTCACCTTGGCTGGGCCCCGGCAGGCTGTGGACTGGTGGAGCCTGGGCATCCTGATCTTTGAGCTGCTGACGGGGGCCTCGCCCTTCACGCTGGAGGGCGAGAGGAACACGCAGGCAGAGGTGTCCCGGTGAGTGGGGCTGGAGGCAGTGAGTGGGACTGGATGGGGTGGGGGAGGCAGCTGAGGTGGCTGGGCAGGGCTGTGGGCGGGGCTCGCTGCCCCTGACGCCCCCCAAATCCTCCCAGACGGATCCTGAAGTGCTCCCCTCCCTTCCCCTCTCGGATCGGGCCAGTGGCGCAGGACCTGCTGCAGCGGCTACTTTGCAAGGACCCCAGGAAGCGGCTGGGTGCGGGGCCCCAGGGGGCGCAGGAGGTCAAGAGCCACCGTTTCTTCCAGGTGAGGCTTCTGAGCCGCCCCCACCTCTCTGCACATACCCAGCGGGGCTGCTGCTCTGGACTCGGGGATACTGCAGGGATGTCTGAGATTGGCCAATTTCTCTTGATTTAGAAGAATCCTGCCCGGCTGGTGTGGCTCAGTGGTTGAGCGTGGACCTATGAACCAGGAGATCATGGTTCAATTCCCCGTCAGGGCACATGCCCGTGTTACACATTCAATCCCCAGTAGGCAGCCGATCAATGATTCTCATCATGGATGTTTCTCATCCTCTCCTTTCCTCTCTGAAATCAACAAAAATATATTAATATTTTTTTAAAAAGAAAAAATCTCCAGATTAGGGAAGCAGGCTTATCTTCCCACCCATCTCTAGTGAAACTCGGGAGATGTGTGTTCCTGGGGGAAAGAATTCTAGGTTCATCGACTGTCGGGACTGCCAGGGACTTGGGAATGGATTCGTCAGTCCTTTCATTGGACAGGTTCAGAGAAGGGCGGCGACCCACCCGGGATCGTACAGTGAACGTGTGGAACCGGACACAGACCCGCGTCTCCTGTCAGCCTAAATCAGCACTGAGAGCCACACTATGGCTCTTGGCACCCACCCAGGCGTTTTGTTCTTTGTCCCTGTACAGTCCGTGTGCCTGTACTTAGATGGACGGTCAGTCAGTCATGTGGGTTTGATTTACTTGCTAGGAGCATATGCAGGTTAGAGTGCAGAGCAGAGTGAATTTGTCTCCGTGTGAGACCTCTCTGGTGGGTGCTCTGCATGGCCAGTGTCAGTGCCTAGCAGGATCCTGTAACAGTGAACACCTACTGTGTGTCAGCCTGCCGGAGCTGACCAGCAACCCTGAGCGACGGATGAATGATTACTCCGACACGTTTGCTATGAAAGAGAGGGTTAAGGGACTGCTTGGCTAAAGGAACCAGACAGCCTCGATCGCCTGCCTTGTTAGGCTTTTATTGTAACAGCAGTTTGAGATAAGATGTGCCTGCAACCAAGGTACATGCCCTTGACCGGAATCGAACCTGGGACCCTTCAGTCCGCAGGCCGACGCTCTATCCACTGAGCCGAACCGGTTAGGGCTGGGATAAAGCTTATCGTTTAGATACAATCAGTAGGGGAAGTAATCATGTATCTGGAGCAAGGACACCTAGAGATTAAGCGTAAAGATTCCGATGAACACCAGAGTGTCTGCACGTGCACAGACTTGTTAGGAAAGGTCAAGGAACAATTAGGGGCGGCCTCAGCCAACTCCCCTTTTCAGAATTTCCTCCTTACAAACTTCCCAACCAAGTCTCATGCTTCCCTACATCAGCCCTTTGCTTGCATTATTTCACGTAACCCTCAGAACCATCCTCTTTATTCCCTTTTTTTAAATATGTTTTTATTGATTTCAGAGAGAGAGGTAGGGAGAGGGTGAGAGAGATAGAAACATCAATGATGAGAGAGAATTATCGATTGGCTGCCTCCTGCACGCCCCCTACTCGGGACGGAGCCTGCAATCTGGACATGTGCCCTGACTTGGAATTGAACTGTGACCTCCTGGTTCATGGATTGATGCTCAACCACTGAGACACTGTTCCCCTCTTTATAGATGAGGAAACTGAGGTTCAGAGAGGTTAAGTAATTTCCCAAGATTGCCCAGCCCGGAAGTGGTGGAGCACAGATTCAAACCTCCGTCTGGGTGACTTGAAGGCCCTTGTCTTTCGTTCACACACGGGCACCAGATTTGCCACTTGTCTGACGTAACGAAAGCACCCATCTGCGGGCATTTGTGGTGGGGCAGGCACTCAGTTACCCTTTTACGAGTGTCATCTCCTTACGTCTCCCCTCAAGTACCTGCCTAGAAGGGCCCTGGGAGATGCTTTCTCAGACGGGAGCCTAAGTCTGCAGTGAAGGCGTCACTTTGTAGGGGAAGTGGCTGAGCCAGTGTCTGTTTCCTTAAGTGAATTCCTCAACCCTCCCGAGTGCATGCTGGGCCCTGGGTGCTGGGAGTGGGTTGACCAGTAGCCATTCCAGAGAGACCCCAAGGTCTTTGAGGCTTGATGCTCAGAAGGGGTGTTCCCCTCACTCCCCCTTCTCTCAAGGCAGCCTCTTTGGTGCTGGCAACGCTGAGGTCTCTGGTGGCAGAACTGGGGCCTTCAAGTCTAGGTCAGGCTTCTTGGCTTCACGTGACAAAAAGTCCAACTCAGATATGGTGGTATCCATGGAGCAGAGTTTAGTGCTAACAGGTATTAGAATGCCCAGTCGTCTAAACAAGATAGAGGGTTATTTACTTATTTATTTTCTTACATAAAAGAAATCTAGAGGTTGGCAGGCCGGAGCTGCTATGGTGTCTTCATGGGTCCAAGCTTTTTTTTTAAGGCCCCTCCATTTTTAGCATGTAGCCTCCACCCCCAGGTTTGCTTCATGGTCCCATATGACTGCCGAGCACTTGCCATCCAGGCTGAGAGCCAGGCAGGAAGCAGGGAGGAGGAGGGGAAGGGCCAAAAGGGCATTTGCCAACTGTCCACCCTCCTCTTGAGGATCTTTTCCTTGATTCCTAGCTCACAATATTTGCTTGCAGGTTATCGGTCACTCCTAACTATAAGGAAGTGTGTAAAATATTGTCCTAGTTTGCACATTGCTTCCTGGGCTTGAATCGGGGCTATGGAACTAAGGAAGACAGGGAACATGAATGTTGGGCAGGCGATGGACAGGCTCTGCCACACTAGCTTACGTATGAAAGGGCTCCCACCAGGGAGAAGTTGAAGGAAAAGTGGGCTGACTTCAGGTCAGGCTGCATCCAGGTGCTGAGCCTACATCATCAGGAATCTCTGTCTCTTGGTCCTGCTTTTCTGCAGGGACTTCATCATCAGACCCCGAGGTTGTTCCCAGCAATTCCAGGCCCATATCCTCGAAGGTGGAAGTGTAATGGGGGGAAGAGAGTTGTTTGCAACTGAAAGTCCCAGAACTGACTGAGTGTGGTGGAGGGTGATCCCCCAAGGGAATAGGAATTGGGCGTCAAAGGGAGGGAAACAGGCTGGGGAGGCAAGAAGAACACCTTCTCCCCAAATGCAGGGTAGCCTGTTATTTCACTGAGGAGCTGAGCGGAGAGGGTGGCCTGAGCGGAGAGGGGTTTCCCCCTCCTGCCCTATGATCCTCAGTCTCTCATTTCTTCTTTCCAGGGTCTGGATTGGGCTGCTCTGGCTGCCAGAAAAATTCCAGCTCCATTCCAACCCCAGATCCGCTCAGAGCTGGATGTGAGCAACTTTGCAGAAGAGTTTACTCGGCTGGAGCCCGTCTACTCCCCGGCTGGCAGCCCCCCATCTGGGGACTCGCGCATCTTCCAGGTGAGTGAGCCAGCCTCGCCCTGGCTGACTCGTGGGCACTACATACACCCCGTGCCTGGTCAGGACTCGGCATCCCCCCCAGACCTCGCCACTTGTGGGGACCTGGAGTTGCCAGTCATGGAGACCACCATGGCAGGACACGTCTTTGCACTTAATGGTTTGTCTTTAGATTTCACATTAATTTTCCTTTTACTCCATCATAACTCTTTATTGGTACATAAAAATATCGTTTTAAATTATTCACTTGCTTAAGTAGACACCTAGGAAGAGAGGCCATATTTATCCTGTGGCTTTGATCCCATTGGCATACCGTATCACATTCCTGGGGGCACAGACCCCTCCACCCAATTTTAGAAGGTTAGGCCTGTTGGACAAGGCTTACCTCTGCTCAGGATTCAAGGCCCTGCACCGTGTGGTCCTGCTCTGACCCGAGGCTCAGCGCTCGCTATCGTCCCAACTGGTGCCGTAGCCGCAATGGACTGTCAGAGGTTCCACCACGCACCCCCGTGCCATAGCCCAGGCAGTGCCCTCCCCCTGGAGTGCCCTCCCCACTGCCGCTCACCTGGCAAGCTCCCGCGGACCTTTCTAGCCACGTTGGCCAGCGCTGCCCCGGGTGAAGGCTTCCTCACTCCCGTGGCCCGGGCTGCACTTGCCTGTGCGCCAGTCCCCTGCAGACAGCACCTTCTGAGACTTTCGTCAGGTTGGGTCCTGGCAGCCCACCCGAATCTGCCTCCCCTGGTGCGAAGCTCCTGGAAGCGGGAGCTGTTGTTTAACTTCCTGTCCCTGTGCCCAGTGTGGGGGCCTGGCCTGCAGGGCCTGGTCTACATCTATTACATAAGAATAGGCCGGTGTCAACTACGAGAATCTCCTCCATGAAGCCCCACGAGTGACAGCTCTGTGCTTGAGCGTCTCTCGATCCATTGTCTCAGTTCTGAGAAAGTTCTTTCCTGAGAATGGATGGTTACTCTCATTCATTCCTTCATTCACTCATTCATTCATTTCAGGACTCAGAGATACTGGTATGTGTTGAGTGCCTACAGTGTGCCAGGCACAGATCCGGGCACGGGATGAACCTAACAGGAAGTGATCCCACCCAGGTGGAGCTTGCCTGCTAGCGCACAGGGGGCTGCATGTTCAGCAGAAACACATCAGGTTACCCCGAGACTACCTTGAATGGGCAGGACATGGTCCTTAGGAAAGGCAAAGTGGTAATGGTTTCGCTTTACATTGCCTCAGGGCTCCCTCCTCGGTTCGATTTGAGAGGAAGGAATAAAGACTTTTTGTCCTGTGGGCACAGTTGAATGTTCATAAGTGAAACGGGTGTGATGCCAGGTCACAGTCCTTCCACGCACTGCCCGCCTTCTCTGGGCACTACATTGCGCCAGGCGATGCCCTTCAAGGCTGCATCCAGGTGCTGAGCCTATGTCATTAGGAATCTCTGCCTCTTGGTTCACTTTCCTGCACGGGCACTTCACCCTTAGACCCTCAGGTTGTCCCAGCAATTCCGGGCCCACATCCTCTGAGATTTAAGTGTAAAGGGGGGCGGGGGGAGGCGCAGAGGGTTCTGTTACTGTAATGAGAAAGGCGGAGTCACAGACTGGTGGGGGACCGACATGACCCCAAGTGATCATAGAACAAGTTGGAATAAAATGTCCACGCATCCTGTTGTGTCAGGACCTAAAAGCAACACCCCCCCCCCAACCCCTGGTCCGGGGTCTTCCTCTGCCTGCCCTCCTCCCGGCCAGGTGTGGCCCTTCCAGGGAACCCCCCCTGCACCTCCAGCCCCCCATTCCCATCCGCCCCTGACCCACCTCCCTCCCCAACCAGGGATACTCCTTCGTGGCACCGTCCATCCTGTTTGACCACAATAACGCTGTGATGAGTGATGTGCTGGAAGCACCTGGCACTGGAGACCGGCCCGGGAGGGCAGCGGTGGCCCGGAGCGCCATGATGCAGGTAGGGAGGCTGGGCGGTGTGACGGCGGTGAAATCCGGGACCTCTGCGA